TGCCTTTACTTCGTGAGCAAAGAAACTGGATTTAGAGGTTTAAAACGTAATTTTCTCAAGATACTCAACAAGCAGGCAATAGAAACATGACAGAAATCCAAGTTTCATGTCAAAGCACTATGATTCCTGGATCATTCGTGAAACTTGAGTTAGGTATGAGGAGAAAAGACAGAGTCCAGTTTCGTGGCATTCACAATCTAAAAGCAAGAGTCCAGTAAGTAGACCCACTACCTGCAACAGGAATTAAAAGAATACGCACAACTTTATAAGTCCATAAAGTTTACGAGGTGTCTGAGACTACTGGAGACAATTACTAGTTACAGACATCCTGAAACCAGCTCTTCTCTCAGACTTGAAGTTTTCTGGAAAGAACGTAGTTCTGCAGGTGAAAGTGTGGAGGGCAGAATAAACAGCAGGTGTTCTTGGGTTCACCCTCAACCACATGAATCCTTATGCCATTGTGACACATGAATTTGTTTTATGTCTTTTGAGATGATAACTTTGGCTAGAGCTCTATAAATAGGCAAAGGAAAACCAAGGAAAATGTTTTGAGGACCAAAAGAACTCAGCTCTTACAGATTATTCAAACCACATGACCACATGAAAAACAAGAGCCAGGAATCTCATAATATGAAGACAACTTAACCTTGATTTGCTGTGGGCTGACATTTGTATGTGTTCCTGTACTTAATCTTGACACAACCCAAGAAGGTACACACTCTAGAGTTCCCTTAGGATGTCAAGCTTTTAGGCGGCTTCAGTAACCCCCCAGGCGTCACTCTGCCAGGAAGTGGTGAAATTGGGACTCCATCCAAACTGGCAGATCAAAGTGCTTTTCACCTTTGAACACGCACTTGGCACGCTATGTGGCCGTGAGAAAGTGCTGTGGTCATTGTAATGCTAGCAAACTTGATTTATGTTTCTGAGAAGTTTCGAGTGCATTACTGAATTGGATGCTAAAACAATTCCATGAGAAAAGCGGTGTAGATTTTCTTATCGCCACACCTATTTCCCAACACAGGCATGCACATTCCACACTTACACCTCCACCAGGAGATGTGTCATAGAACTGCTTGGTGGCTGACTTTGGACTGGAACTTCAATATTCTCATCCTTAGAAACTTGCCTTTCACCTGCAATAGCAATGAAACTTTAATGTCATATTATTTAGGAAAAAGATGTATGAATACCAGACACACCATATATCTTAGATCGCTTAAAAGCCACCTCCAAAGAAGAATCTAAAATTATATTCTCAAAAATTTTATATGAATGAATTAAGAGACATACACAGTGATTTTTTATGTCTATATAGAAATCAGTGCCTGTGGTTTTGTGTGCTATGAATAGAAAGATTTGTATTTTATTAGCACGAGCAGAATATAATAAAGGTATGAAAATAAAAATTTCATTCAGATGTAGTTTCAGATACCACAATTAGTTTTCATATACTTCCGAATTTCCAGTAACCTATAAAAATAAAATTCGGGGAACCCAAGTTAGGTAGGAGTACCCCAAATGAAAGGGCTCCAGGGTAGCCATCAATGGGTATGAAAACAACAGGGAGTCATGTGAGGTCATTGCATCACTCTGAAGCCCAGGTTTCTCTCCCAAAACAGGAGAAACGTACAGGACCTCCAAGACCCCTAAAATGCAAAGGAATAATCCTTAACCTGACTAAAGTTCAGAGATGTGTTTTATTCTGCAGAGGATACAAATATTTTCAGAATGAACCAGACTGAGACGTTGGCTAAATATTTTCCGTTATTCTTTTAAAAAGTGGATTCATAGATGGTGAAAAAAATATTGATATAGATTCACTCATTTACTACAAGTTGTTCCTGACTCAGGCCTACAGAGGACAAGATTGGTGTACTGCCCAATGGAATATTACTCAGCAATAAAAGAAAATAAAATCATGGCATTTGCAGGTAAATGGATACAGTAGGAGAAGATAATGCTAAGTGAAGTTAGCCAATCCCCAAAAAACAAATGATGAATGTTTTCTCTGATAGAACGTGACTGACTGATAGTGGGAGGAACAGAGGAACTCTAGATAGGGCAGAGGAGTGGGAGGGGAAAGGAGGGGGCAGGGGGTTAGCAATGATGGTGGATTTTTTATGAAGAAATGAATTTGTGTGAACATACTTTATATACAAACAGAGATATGAAAAATTGTGTTCTATATGTGTAATAAGAATTGTGATGCATTCCACTGTCATGTATTTAAAAAATAAAAGCAATTAAAAAATTGGTGTACTGCCACTAGGTGGCAATCTTGACCAGGAGATCATTACAGAAAATGACTGGTCTGTACTGGACTTGAGCGCTTGAGATTTCCCACAGCTGTTCTGTGTAAATGAGTGTAAAAGGGATGGGCATCAAAAGTGCTTATCAGGGGCGACTCCCTTGGATGGCAGATTTCATTCCAAATTAAAAAGGAAGAAGAGGGAGAAATCTTAGAAGATTTCCAGTGTTTCAAGAAATGGAATTCTCTTGGCTGCCAACCGTAAGCATTTTCTTTTTTTTTTTAATTTGGATTCTAAATTACTGTGACCAAAGAGGTGAAATGAAAGTGTCTATTTGGTATCTTCAGGTAGAATGGACCTACAAGCCATAACTCTATGCTAACATTACCAGCATTCATGTAGGGCTCTAAAGAAAAAGGCCATATCTCAGACACTTTCAAAGGTGTGGCTATTATTCTTAGAAACAAAACTCAAATTATAAATAGTAACTAGAAATTTGAGATTGTATAAGTCCTAGCCCAAATTTGACATAGGACTCTCAGAAATCAAGGTTTAAATGACTCGTTTCCCTGGATGACACTGATGTTGTGCCCTTCAAGTACTGAACATGTTCACTGTCATGAGATAGTTTTAGAATTTTCTCTCTGCCTAGAGCCAACCTGGCTGCTGTGCCATCAATCTTATACATCTTTTTATCTCTCCCCTGATGGACCAGAATCCCGGTTTACGCTTGAACTCCTCCAAAGCTCTAGAACTGTCCCCCACACACAGCCCACTTAGGATTATGCTTATTAGATTGTTCTGCTTAATTTGCTTCTCTGGAATTTTTTTGTTTTGTTTTGTTTTAAATTCATCAATAACTAAAGACTTCAAGAATTTTTGAGCATCTAACATGTTGTAGGCTCTGTTAGGTCTTAGGAATATAAAGATGGGGAAATTATATGTAGTTTTGCTGATCTTGTGGGATGGATAGTCCAATTCTGTCACTTTCTCAATTATTTCCATCCTCATGCTCCTCGAAATAGGCATCTGCAGACAGGGGAACTGTACCCCAAACAAGCCCACAGGTGACTCTACTTACTACCACACCCTGTTTGGTAATCACAATCCTAAGGGCTCTAAATTCCTACAGAAGTTTAAACCTACTTCAACAGGGTGGCAGATCAAATTTCTGAAGATCATTGCTATTGATCTTCCCCCACCACAATCTTTTCTTCTTCAGGCTAAATATGCCAGAGAATTCAAACTACGATTTTCCTGAAGAAAAGACTGTTTCAAGCAAAGCTATTGATGGCAGCTGTAAATAAATCTGTGGTTAGAGGAACTGAATCCATCAGGCAGAACCAACTGCGGAGAGGAGCAGGGGCAATGAACAGGGAGAAGCCTGCTGTGTGGGGTGCCCTGGGGATGTGATTTTTCCCACTCAAATGCAGCCTCAGATGATCACCCAGAAGTGTGAGGAACATGGAGAAGAGAGCAGGGTGAGATACTGCTGCATCTTCTTGTCTTTCTTGATTGCAAGACACAGCAATAAATTGATCCTTAAGGTGGGGGGTGGAAAAAAAGTGGAAGAAAGCATATTCTGAGCTGACTGGCAAAATTCAAGATGTAAAGAGAGAAACAGGGAGGAAGAAGAAGAAGAAGGAGAAAAGCTAAGATAAAAATCATTCCAGCTTACAGAGCTTGAATGTTTATAATGCAAAGAGACAGTTGCATTAAAGGATTAGGCCCCACGGCCTGATTAACATCATTTGATCTTTTGCTATTGAAAAGACCCTGTGTGTTTTCAAAGGCAGTGGGCTTTTTAAATAAAACCAGGAGTCTGAGTTAGCAGAGAATTGTTAGAAGAGAAAGCAGTTCTTTTTAGTGGTTATCCTGTCCTACCTGCTTTATAATGTTCGATTTCCTTCTCTCTTTCAGTAGGGGATGCGTCTGAATCAGAAAATCTGGGCTCTGGGAGATTTGATATAACAAAAGCAAACATATAAAAAAATCATTATGACCTAACACGGCTGAGTCAGACCTCTGGGCTGTCTGCCTCTATACTTTCCTCATGAATATCATCTCAGAGCTCCCTTTTCTGTTTTCGTTCTGGTTTTATTTTAAATCTTTTGCTCGCCCTCCCTCTCAGCTAAATAGCCAATAATCACCATGCAATCTTAGAGAGATTAGCACACCATGGCACAGTAGTATTTTTGTGCTTTGTTTTCTGTCTCGTTTATCTGCTGTCTATTGCAAGTTTCCGGGGAGATTAGTGTTTCTCCTGAATTTGAGAGTGATCATCACCAAGCCAAATTTTTCCACTAGCTAACTTGGTGCAGCATATGGTTGGAGGCAATCACAGCATCTCTACATCTGTGCTGTCATCTTGGGGTGGCCGGCTACGAGGTGGGGAGGGCTTTGGTTGCTCCAGAGGACCAGGCAGTCGTCCTGACTAGTACAGTCACTGTGGCCCATTCAGCGGCTGGCGTCGCTGCCAAGCCAGCCAACAAAAGAGCATTGTGATCCTGACGGTTTCCCAGCAATGACTGGACAGGCGCAGACCACCAACCATCTCGTTTCGCTTCTACTGTTCACAAGGGGGACCATGAATGGAAACACGTCGGTGGCGAACTTCCCACATCCTGCTGGTGCGGGTGCTTTTCTAGTGTGGGTCTCAGGCTGATCATCCTCGTACCTGCTACCTTGCTTTTCCTGTTTGTTAAGTACAATTAGCTTGGAGGTTAATATATAATCCTCATGAGAGCCCACAAAAAAACTTAGGTTTGAGTTTTTAAAAATAAATATACAGCATGCAATATTATGGAGAACTGGACATATAATAAAAATGAAACATTCTAAATGTAAAAAGATACGATAAGATGGAAAGGTAAGGTGACATAATTTCAGTTAGTGTGAGTCCACTATGGTTCTTAAGAACTGCATTTGGGCATTTGGGCACAGATTTTTCAGTGAGAGCATGGAATCATTTTTAATAGATTTTAATAATTTCCATACGCAACCAAAAGTTTTCCCTTTCTGGGGACTAAGACAACCACCTCTCCAATGTTCATTTAAAGAAGAGCAGTAAGTCAAATGTTTAGGAAAAAAGTGAAGTCAGAGGTTTATCATTGATTGAAAGTCAGAAGATATTTTTAGCAATCGTATAAAATGATCCTCAAACATATTTCAGAGGGGGGAGTGTGGCATGATTCCATTTAAGTTGCTTTCCTTCTTAGTACAAATCACAATTAAGAGTTACCACACTTGCTTATCAGTTACAAATAATACTATTCCATGCTGTTGGAGGAAGGTAAAATAAGAAAATGATGTTTAAAATGGATCCACAGGGAAGGGAGGGGGCATGGGGTTAGAAATGATGGTGGAACGGAATGGACATCATTATCCAAAGTACATGTAGGAAGACACGAATTGGTGAAAATGCACTTTGTATACAATCAGAGATTTGAAAAATTGTGCTCCATATGTGTAATAAGAATTGTAATGCATTCCACTGTCATATATAAATAAAAAATTTAATTAAAAAATATATAAAACAGATCCACAATTTTAGAAAGGTATTTGGCAGAATCTTAAAATCAATCTACCCTCTTGGCCCCATTAACCTAATTCTTAAAATGTTTCGTGTCTATATATGTGTCACATATATTTGTTTTATATATAGAATGTTATATTAAAGACAAGAGAAGAAAAACCTATACAGTATTATTCATCAAATCCAAGTTAATAGCAAGACCAAGCATCATGAAAGAACAAAACAAGCATAATAGAATAATTAAGTGAATTGTTAACCCTAAGCAAAATTATATGATGGGCTGCCATGCAGCTATTAAACTTGATGTTTCCAAAGCTTCTTAATACTATGGGAGAATATTACTTAAATCGTGGATGGAAAAAACAAGCCATAAATGAGTGGTAATGATTTTAGCACATAAAAGTGTAATACAATAGTAATGGCTATTATTTTCACTGGGGGGATTATGGTTGATTTTTCATTGTTGGGGACTCTGGGAGATTTGATATGACAAATTTCTGGGAGATTAATTTTTCACCATTATTCTCAAAGAATAATTATAATAATTAAAAGAAAAACACTTTCTTTTGAAAAGGCATCTTTCTTGTATAAATAAAAAATAAGAAGAACTCTAAAGTTCCACCCCCTTCTTTAAACAATTCATAGGAATCAACAGCTCTATGGTTGCAATCAGTGGATCCATTTTGAGGCCTATTTGGCTGACTTCAGTTCCTTTATTCTTTCTCAATCTCCACCCGAAAGGATACAATGGGCTAAGCAACCTGGGCTGCTGCTTCTCTGTGTGCACTGTTACCCAGGTACTGCAGTGGGCTGCTTTGAGATGGATTCTCGGGGAGATCGCTGAGTCCTGGACTGAGGTAGAGAGTCTAGCCTGGAGAGCCTATAACATATGTCTTTATTGAACAGCTGAGTCGCAGGTTCCCCTCAAGGAAAGCCACACCAAATATCTCAGGTATAAAAACTCTTAATGATCACAGAACTTTGATTCCTTTAGCCCATTTTTTTTTTCAAATTTAATAGATAATTTACAAGTCTTTTTCTTTCAAATTCCAAGAGGACAAGTACTGTGTCCCATGCAATCACTCATTCAGCTGGCAATTTACCTACTATGCTCTATGGTGCTTATTTATCCCAGTGCTTAAGACCATATGCTTTGGATATTTCCCAGGTCAGAGGCACTGGCATTAGACCAAGGCAACAGACAGGCAGGCACATGGGGACCTGTATGAAGCTCCACATTTTATAGAGCTCTGTCCTGGCCTCTGGACCTAGAATCAAGAAGTACACAGGCTCAGGGCCAAGCCTCCTGGATCCTGTGCTCTCTGCATGCACCCTGCCTTTTAGGCCACAGTCCAGAAAACAAGAACCCTGGGGACTTCTTCCCAAGTGGCCTAAGTTTGTTCCTGACTTGCTCAGGCCTCCTTCCTGCTCTGTTTTTCTGAAAGTGCATTATATCCCCAGGGACAACTCATAGGCCCAAAAGGGGACCAAAGAGTAAGCATTCTGTAGAGGATGAGGCAGGAGCTTGGCTATACAGAGTGGCATAGAAGTACATAGAGCCCAGCACAGCACCAAGCACAGAGAGTTCTCATTTGAGAAAGAAAGAAAAAAGAAATAGCCATGGGAATTCAAGCTTCTAAGGGAAATTTTAATTTTAATTCTTATATAATTTATAATGGCATCTTTTTTTTTTTTTTTCAATAACTGTGCTATTATTGTCCTCGC